TTTGACTCATAATTGTCAAAATACTTATTACTCTGATCCAAAGGCTTTTACTCTCACTTGAATGAGATTGCCATTAGTGAAACTCTAGTGTCGTTGGCACCCGAGAAAGGTTTTTTTTTTTTTTGAGATTTGGTTTGTTATATATATATGTTAAAATTCGTGTATATTAATTTTAATTTTTTTTAAATTAGATTCTTAGCTAATATTTAAAAACTAAAATTTTAATTCAAAATTCAAAATTTTTATTAATTTTTAAATTTAAATATCAATATTCAATAAAATAAAATTTTAAATTTTAATTAAATAAAATAACATAATTTGAAGCTAAAACTCCAATATTTTTAAGAGAAGAGATTAATATATATTTTATATATGTTTTACTTTATTAAGAAATACACCTTCCATTCTTTATACAATAATATTTTTTATGGTTTAAATTGTAAAACTACTCTCTAGTTTTTTACAATAATTTTTTTTATAATTTAAATAGTAAAATCACGAGCTCTTCTTTTTATTTCTCATTTTGACTTACACGTTTCTATTGGATACTTTTTATAAAACATATGAATGTTAAATATAAATTATATATATAATTTTTTTTGAATAAATTCATTTGATTAAAAAAATTTAGTTGTTATTCATATCATATATAAAAACATTATTCTTAAATTCTATCCTTTTAGGTATCCTGGTCTATTACTTCTCATGCTATAAGGCACCCAAAAAGGTAACCAATCTTCTTACTTCAATTCAACGCAATTTCTTGGGGTGGGGGAGGGCAGGGGGGGGGGGAGAGGATAAATGCAAAATTGCTTGGGTATCATGGGAGAAAATTTGCAAAGTGAGGGAGAAGAGAGACCTAGGTGTAAGGAATGTAGAATTGTTCAATAGGGTGCTATTAGGCAAATGGAGATGGAGGTTGTGAAAAGAAAAAGATTCATTGTGGAGGAAGGTATTAACAAAGAAGTATAATATTAATAGGAAAAATGAATGGGAGGGAGGTCCATGGAAAGGGGGTCGCTCAAGGTGGTGGTCTGATTTATGGAAGCTAGATAAGGATTACAACAGTGAGGGATGGTTTAGGATGAATGTGTTCAAAGTAGTTGGTGAGGGAATTGAAACTCTTTTTTGGCATAACATTTGGGTAGGCAATGGTTGTCTTAAGGAAAAATATGATAGATTATATAGGCTATCAAAGGATAAGGATGCTTTAATTTCTGATATGGGAGATTGGAGTGAGAGGGAGTGGCAATGGAGATGGAGATGGAGGAGGCCTCTTTTTGCATGGGAACATAATCTTTTGTAGGAACTTCAGTTGGAATTACAAGGAGTGTAGATAAAACAAGGGCAACAAGACAATTGGATTTGGAAAAATGGACACAAGGAACGATACTCAGTACGATCAGCATATAAAATGCTATCATCAAAACCAAGGGAAGTAGAAGCTGTTGTTTACGCAACAATCTGGAATAAGCACGTTCCATTTAAAGTGA